ATGATAAAACGGTAAACACTAGTAAGTATTTTTTTATTTTTTCACCGACGACTCTGACATCATCCACTTTGCACTCGGCATCGATTCGAAAAAGAGAAATGCTCCAGGCAATTAAGAAACACCAAAAACATATTTATTTACTAAAATGGAAGCTTTATTATTTCCTAAATGGAAAATCACGAAAGTTCACATTCCGTTGCCGGGATAATAAAGTAAGTGGGAAATATTAAGTATCCGGAGATTAAATGGATTCGTTTCCGGAAATTAATCAGAAGATTGGCGAGAAATGATAAAATTATTAATACTGCCTTTATTCTATTATCTCCATCAGGTATAATAAAATTAATAACTTCAGTTTATAGCTGGTTGATTTAAAAGATAAAAATCTCAAAAAAAATCACGTTTTCGTTTACGCCGACGAAATTTATTAGGAAATTAAAAACGACGGTTTAAAAATGTGTCAGCGCGTTAATTAATAAATGAAGTCAATTTTAAAATAATTTCATTTTCAAAGCATGTAAACAAATTTTTATATTTTATTTGATTTTTTTTTCTTTCGGTTTTTCGAATTTAAACTGATTAGATATTTGTTGACGTCCGATTTAAATTTATTTTTAGATAAAAAGTAAATCGAAATCGATAAACATTCGATTTTTTGATGTTTTTATCGATGAGAAACAAATTATATTTTTGTCGACGTTAATCATTTTCAACTTTCGTTTCATACAAATAATTACAAATTGTAAATTATAGACACAACTAGAATATTTCTTCTCTTCGAGAATAATGGATAAAATATACTAAAGAATCTCGTTAATGACAGAAAAAGAGAGACAAAACTACAAAATCTTTCTCTGAAAATGTCTAATTTAGCTTCTGACACGCTAAAAATATGACCAAATTCTGTAATTTATTGCGATAGTTACTCTTTTAAAGACGATAATACGACAAATATTTTGCCTATTAATTTAATTTATGTGACACTTCGATACGTTTAATAATGCATAATTACGTTTAACTCCGCTTTAAAAGTTTTCTCTCGGACTTCTAAACGTAAAATCCTATTGGAAAATATCGGAATATTCTGCTATTCTTAATCTATTGTCTCAGTCTATCCAAAAACTTTGTAAAACACGTAACAGGTTTTTACGATAGAATCCTAAATTCTTCGCTTTCACTCGCTCTAATGAATTTTCTGGTGTACAGTATTTAACAATCTGTATCTGTGTATTGTTGATCGCAATGGGCAATTTAGCCTAAGTAATATTATTCGATGGACTCCCGTTTAGAGTAATTTATATTATATTGTATCTGCATATCCTGTTGATTATTCTTTAACATTAAAAAAGGACCGCAATCCGATAAATGATATAAATTTTCTGTCCGAAACCGTTAAAATAATTGACACGATTTATGGGCCCTTCGCTGCGATTCTTTAATAAAAAAAAAATCAAAAATATCGTCAATTTTTACTTTAGTACCTTTTTTGTCTTCGTTCATTTGTTTTATCGTCATTAAATTTTATAATTTATAGGTTAGAACGGCGAAAGGAAGGAATCTTTATTTCCCCTTCCGAAGATAACAAGTAGAAATGATACACTTTTTGATTATTTAGCATTCTTCTTCCTGTCAATTTTCATATTTTTTATCCTCAACTGTAAGAAAGATTTCTTAATTGGATAATATTATCTGCTAGCAAATACTATCCGAAAAGTAACACTCGAGTAGGTCTATATTATTTAAATAATCTTACTTTCCAACCCGTATTTGTATAAAATACACTCTTCAAATGAATGAACTATTATTTTATTTACAGTAAAATATCACTGGTAACTTTCCGGAGGAATTTCCTTTAACGAAGTTCTTCTTTCGATTTAAAAAGAAAATATAGAAATAATATATAATTCAACAGCAAGTTAAATGCATCTTTTATCACGAATTACTTTATTTTTCGTTTAATTAAATTTAATTAGGGTATAAATTGAAAACTTACGCTTTGTTAAGCTCTATCACAATAACATATTCCTGTAAAAATGATTTTTTTAAGATTTATTTTATTGTGAAGACATTTTTTTAAAAGTCTTCAACATAATAATTAAAGAAAGAAATATATCGCGATGACTGGATATTATAATTAGTACCACGAAGTTTGGATTGTTCAAAGCTTTTTGTTTTTGGCCAGAGCCTAAAAAATTTAAGTTTGATTTAATTGTAAAAACCAGGCACCTTATTTTAATTAGTAGATACTTTTACAAAGGCCACGTCTGTTTGTAAGTTACATTTATAAAATTTGGCGGAATTTCTTAACGAAAATCGTGGAAACAGATTAAATTTTGCAGAATTATAGACGTTAACCGCGTGTTGTTTCCCGGGATTAAATGCCAGAGATAGGCGAAATGACGATTTAGGAAGGAGAAAGAAAAAAAATTATGGAATTTAAATAAAAAAGCAGTTGGAGTTTTTAATCGAACTAATAAACTCTTAGGACGTAACAAAATCGTTTTTGCGGAGGATTGTTTTCAAATCTTGGGTTTTCTACGGAGGGAAGAGAAAGATATTTCGCTTACTTTATTGATTCGGCCAGATATTTACTAAATGATTTACGGACAGAATTCGTTTTTATAAAGTTTTCTTCTAAAGTTCGGAGATTTTCCTTTCCGTTCCGTGTTCGAGATAGAAGAAGTGGCGGTTATTTATCGTGTTATTAATTTGGACCGACCGGAACCCTGTCGAAAAAGATAAAAATCCAGATAATTCCTAAACTTTATCAATTGATTTAATAAAGAGGCAGTTCATTTCACATTTTCTTCTTATCTATCATTTCTACAAATACGTAGGAAATTACGATTCCGTTAAATGAAATATAAATGGATAATTAAAATGGCTCCAAAAATTCTCTACTCCTGTTTTATAAATATATTTAATTATTTTAAAGTAATTTATTATTATCGTTTATGTATATTTAAAGAAGCCCTCCGATATTTCGACGGAAGTATTGGTTTTCAATCCCTTTAATGGATTTATCTTTGCCTACATAAAGTTGTTGGTGGAGTAACTTATATTCCGACACCATCAAACAGACGAATCGTGTCTTTAAAATATCTTGTTTTACGTAAAAGAACGAAAAACAAGCTATTTTAAAGACGGCGACGTACGATTTCAATAAAATATCCAATGTGACAGAGCTTAGTCGAAAAATATTACCTCTAATAAATCCTACGTTTGCGATAACTTTCGACGTTTTTGACTTTTAGTATTTCGAAAATATTTGTTTTCTTCTGTTTTTATTTTTCTCTTTACTGCGAAAATAAATAATTTAAAAAAAAGAAAACAAAAACATTTATTGGCTGCGAGAAAATAGCCATTATTTAATTAAACTATTAATTTTACACCGAATAACTTATACTTGTTGCAGAATATCGCCTCACTAACACGAAAGCCATGCGACGTATCGAGATAACTCTTCGCGTAACGTTGAAAATAAATGAGATAAATGGAATTTATTCTTCTGACAATAAAATATCATGAACTAAATTCGATTATACCAATAATTCTTTAGATATAGAAGGTAAAAAAAGTAAATTATATCGCGTATGTTATCCTTAATTCTATGAGAAATTATCCAGAAAACTATGAGACAAATTACAGAATTTTTCGTGTAAAATATTAAAAATAATTAATGAGTTAATACTTTTTAAAAAAAAGAATAAAGTATATGTAATTTTAAATATAATTTTATTCACATTTGCTATAGCAAATTAAACCTTCGACTAGCTTACTGTTTGGAGTGGATGCCTCACGAATGTGTCACGTATTGCGTGTCGCGTGCTCACAAGAGGAATAATTTATATGTCAGTACGAGACAGTAAACAGTTTTGTCTGGTCTTATTTTGGAGAAAACGTGACCAAAAATACCTTCGAAATCACTTACTTATAGAGTTTTGTATAGTTTACAATTTGCTAAAAATGTCTTAGTATATATCACGTTATAAAATGTATTTTCCTAAGTTCAATTTTAATATTTATATTAATTTCTATATATATATATATATATATTTTTAATCAGTTTATAATAGAAAAAAATTACATTAAAATTATAATATCTGC